ATTGTACAGTGGCATTAAGTGCCGTAATGTGCACCTCTGCCTACCCCTTCGGGGATAAAAAGGCGTGATGTTATGTTTACCTACGTTGTTCTGTCCCAAGTGCCGAAGTTGCAAAGATTGTCGTCAATCTAATCTAAACCATCTAGACATTCGGTTCGATTGCAATTTGCAATTTTTAAGTCTAACATATAATAAGCCTCGTTTCCATTGTAGGAGATACCTTTTTCAGATAACTAACTTACCTATACATGTACAGGATGTAATAAAACGCATCAAAATTACGTTTTTGCGTGCGAAATGAAAATTTTCGTGGACATAACGAGTAGGACAATGGTTTAAGTATTTAATTGTGTACCTATAGTAAAATATGAGTCATCTGAAAGTATTGTATAAGCAGTAAAACTCGCTGTGAGACCGGTATTCAGACGTTTCTACTTTCAAAAGCACCAAAAAAATCAAGTCAGGCTACCTATCTGTACCGTTAACCTGTTTAAATAAAATTGAATCGCCGAAATGTACACAGCACAGTTACGCGCATTACTACTAACGGCTGCACCGAATTGAATAAGACTTTTTTGTTGTGATCATTATTGTTAGGATTAAATTATTATAAAAGTAAAATTAAATATTCGCTAGGAATATAGGGACGCCCATGCTTACATTGTTTTTTTTTTTCTTGAGGGGGGAAAATCATCCAATGACTCCCGCCCGGGTGAGGCGAGAGGGATTGTCAGACTCTTACTGACTAATAACCACTCCGTTCCTACTCCTGCACTTCGAGCCGGAGCCCCGGCAACCCGTTAAGTTCTCCATGGGTCCGTATCGGCATCAGTCCTTTTCTTACATTACTACCTACTTTAAGATTTTTAGAAGTTTTTGTCAATAAATGCATAAAATGTCTGCCGATTTAACCCACATCACACGTAACGTTAAAGAAATCACTAGAGGTCATATCATGTCGCTCAGTTGTGTTACCAACAGGTCTGACCGCTTCTGCCTTTAATTCATTTATCCTCGTAATCTTACTGTGCTATTTTGATAAAACCATGATGCAAGTAAAACCTGCATAAGTGGGTAAAAAGGTTTTCCTCATTCCTTAAGTGTTATATTTGTATGTCATTTCCTTTAAAATATCTTTGTTTACCAGATCAACGAAGCATCTAATGAATGTTCAATGCCTAGTATTGTACCCTTGCCATGCTTAGTATTTGTATTGTGCCAAGTACCTTTGCCTATATTATCCGCTTCTCAATGCGGGCTAAATCGTAATCAGTTTTTCCTTTTGGAAATTCTTGTAGTCGGTTTGTAAGTATGCAGTTGGAATATTCGAACGACATCCTGTTCAGACAATGGCGCTCCAAGTCAGGCTACGTTTAGATTCGGACAGAAACGACCTGATAATGACGTACCTATACTAAATAACGATTGACTTATTTATCCTTTTAATTATCCATTAACCCGTCGTGTGTCTAAACGTGGATCCACACCAGACACAATGTATGTTCTATTGTGTCTCATATCAGTGCATTCAAGCGGTTATCATATTCTAAACCTGCGGCACATTCCCCGTTCGTCAGGTGTGGACGCATCATTAGACTCTTGTACAGTCGCGGAGAACCTAACGGGTAACCGGGGCTCTGGCTCGACGGGCAGGAGAAGGAACGGGGTGGTTTTTAGTCAGTAAGAGTCTGACACTCCTTTCCGTCTCACCCAGGCGGGAGCAGTCATTCGATGATTTACCCCCCTTAAAAAAAACAGACTCTTGTACAAGTTTTGTCAAACAAACCTGTACCACGAAATCATAGGAGGAACTGGTTTTCTTGTTTAAGTAACTAGTAATAATTACCTAAAACAGCTTATGTAGGCAAAAACCTACTGTGAATTAGATAATATGCATTTTGCCCAATAGTTTTTAATTTATTTTGGCTAGATGCTTACTCTATCGTTGAAGCAAACACCTTCACTCGGGTCGCTCTAACTTTCACAAAGAAAAAAAAATACAGAACGTATTTTGTGTGCGATTGCGGGGCGTAGTAACTAATACTTGTTTTTTAAATCTGTTTTTTATTAAGGGGTTTTTATCTTTGATATGCCAACCCCATCATACCTTTTAACAAAATGTAACCTATCAAATACATACAAAAATTTTGCTTACAATAAAAAGAAAGGAAATTGAGTTACTCATCAAGTGTATTGTGATTAAATTACAAATTTTTTTGTGGTTTCTGAACATGGTAAAGACAGAATTGACTGTAGTAAGCCTACATCCAGTTTATTAAGTTTTAATTTTCCAATGAGTAATTCACTTTCCCGTTCATTCCGGACACAATCCGTAATAATACTTAATGTTAGCTTAGTCTAGAATTATAATTTCTATAATGTTCTGATTCTGATAGACTTTGTTACCTAGGTACTAGGACACGACTTTTTTATGTTTAAGACATGACAAAAGATTCCATAGTAGGTGTTAAAATAACATTACCTACTGTTATGACTACGATCTGCACTACTTTATGTACTTTGGGACCTCTTATCATTCAGAAACCTTTTAAAACCCCTTTGCTAGGGACTCTTTAATAATATATTGCACGATATACGAGTAGATCATGTAAAGTCTTATTTCGTCGAAGAAAGTAAAGCGCTAAGTCTATTTAAGTGCAACAGTAAATGTACCTGTGTTTACATAAAGTTTTATACTAAAAAGTATCTTTATTAGCGTTGAATTACTTCTAGGCATGTTATATACACATACAAGTTACAACACTGTAATAGTTACGTTATCTTATTTGTTTAATTTGAACATGATTTACTCAAGTAGCGGTTTTATTGCACGGTTATCGACATGTAAATACGTTAAGCAACCTTGTCTACGACTTATGAAGATGTTATATTTTGTATTTACTTAAAAGTGTACGTGTCAACCTTGTTTTAATACGGGTTATTAAAAACATTAAGGTACTGAGAAACTTTAATTCGTAAAAATCATTTCTCCGAACTCGTGACATTATACCTTTCATTTCTTAAAGCATACTTTACGTAAGACATAGATAAATTAAAAGGTCATTGACTTATACTTAGCATAAATCCACTATTACCTATATAGTTGTCTAATATCGAATGTGTCCGAATTCCCGTAGGTACGTCGTTACACAAAGATCGTCCCGTACATTTATTATTCGACCTAGTGTGTTTAAGAGTCTGAGGCCTCGAACGTGATCGACCAATCAGAGTGCTAGGTTGATTATGATTTGATTTAATTTCATCGCGGTATCGTTTCGATCTCGTTAAATGTGAAACAAACTCGTTCTAGACCCTCTGAGTACAAACCAAATACTTAATGGCGTCAAAGTTTTTTTTTTTATGGGTTAAGCCGGTAAACGTCCATACGGGTCACCTGAGTAAGCAATCGGCGTCGCCCATGGACACACCTGAAACACCAGAGGCGTTACAAAAGCGTTACCGGCCTTTTGAGGATTAGGAGTTTGGGGATTGTTGGGGATTCAGGGATTGGGAAGATTGGGGAAGGGAGGACGGGGGTAATTTAACCTCCGGTAACCTCACTCACGCGAAGAAACACAACGCAAGCGTTGCTTCACGTCAGTTTTCTTTGAGGCTGTGGTATCACTCCGGTCGAGCCGGCCCATTCGTGCCGAAGCATGGCTCTCCCACACTTATATTATAAAATAATGTACAAAAACAATTTGTTCTTTAATTACAGATGGCGACATGTCGATGTGCGGTTTCCAAGGGTCCTCAACAATAAATATAGATTTGGATCCCCCCAACAATCACTATCGTTGCGGACATCTAGCTATGACGTATACCGGCCTTTGTATCCTGCTTGCAATGGGTGATGACCTCTCTAGAGTCAATAGGAAAGCTTTAGTCGCTGGTAAGTTGGTATTAGATTTATTTATCATAGGAATTGTGCAATTATTACATTCCGATTGCTATTACTTAACCTTTTTCGCTACTAAATAACCTCTTTGCATGTCCCTAAGGGCTGATTTTATCAACGCTATTTAAATTTTATTAGAGCTATAACACTTCTTCCATACGACAATTCTTCAATAAGTTAAATACCGGTAGATTTCACTTATTTCGAAGGCATTAAGTCCGCCAATTTAGGTAGTATTGTTGTGTTGTGAGAGACAAAGATTAAATTAATAAAAAAAAAATTACTTCCTCACATAAACTAATTGATTGAGAAAAGCTCGACTAGTTTCAAGACACAACAGGTCTCTTACTCATATCATGCAAAAATTGGTTATTTAACTTTTATCCGTACTAATCGTCTTCTTCCTCCAGTTACCTGTGTAGGTAAATAAGAATCATAGCAATATTTTATATATCTTTCAAGTACAACCTACAGTATACACATTGCTGCGCAAAATAGTCATATACAAACATATTAGATAATAGCAATGAGAAAAATATCGTATCCGTGCACATTCTTTTAGCCTTTATAAATAGAACTATCGTTTATGAATCGTGGGGGAAATGTTCATACATAAACATATAGATGTATAGCTGTTTATGAATGACTCGTCCGGGAAGTAACTACGGCACTTATTTCAGCGGTAAACAGTAGTATTGTTATCCGAATTGAATGTTTGCTTTCCAAATTATTTCCCAGTATAGGAACGACTTTTTTTGTTGATTTTGTTGACGACTGACTTCCTGGTTTTCTTTGCGTACCTATATGTTGTTATGAGAATATGATACGCGGTCCATTAGCAGATTAGAGTATATATTATGTTTGAAATATCAAGAGAGGAGAGAATTGTAATGAGTAATTTACTTTGGTAATTATAGTGGGATATTAAGGTGAAATGTTACCTATTAAAAAAAAAACGAAGTAGTAGAACAGAGTCTGAAATTGTGCCATATGGCAATAGACTCACCTGTAATGTCCCATTACATGGGACTCATAAATAGTGAAAAGTGGGCGTTACATTGTATAGTGGCATAAGTGCCATAATGAGCACCTCTGCCTATCCCTTCGGAAATAAAAGGCGTGATGTTATGTTATATGTTACCTATCAGTTATAAGTTCTCTGATTTTAAGATCCAGTATAAATGAGACAAGTGTTCACGTAAATGTGGTTTAATTAACACAGACCTATACGCCGAGCGCAGCTGCTTCTATTCCCTATACCTATTGCCCACATATGTAATCCTATACTTGAGTATTATCTAACGCAAACATGTTTATGTTGTCCCTTTAATAACTATTATGTATTATTATAAGTTCACAAGGGCATGTGAATTATATGTAAGACACCGATGTCATACGATTGTAACGTACGTTAGTTGCAAGTGGGTGACTTGACTAGGTATGACTGTCGGTAGCATACGTATATGATACGTATACGTCAGTTACATGGCCTATGTTCAATACTCAGCCCATTGCATTCAATACGGCCAGCCCATTCCAGCCCACTGCCTCCTTCAAATATTTTATCTGATTTTTTTAAGATTTGGTAATTAATAGCAATTTAGAGATTGCAGTTTAGAGATTACAATATGGAGATTGCAGTTTAGAGATTGCAATTTGGAGATTGCAGTTTAGAGATTGCAGTTTAGATATTGCAATTTGGAGAATGCAGTTTAGATATTGCAATATGGAGATTGCAGTTTAGAGATTACAATTTAGAGATTGCAGCTTAGAGGTTAAAATTTGGAGATTGCAGTTAAGAGATTACAATTTGGAGATTGCAGTTTAGAGATTACAATTTGGAGATTGTAGTTTAGAGATTGCAGTTTAGAGATTGCAATTTGAAGATTGCAGTTTAGAGATTGCATTTTGGAGATTGCAATTTGGAGATTGCGATTTGGAGATTGCAGTTTAGATATTGCAATTTGGAGATTGCATTTTAGAGATTACAATTTAGAGATTGCAGTTTGGAGTTAGATAATAGTTATTTAAATTAATTTTATAGGTGTAAAAGCTCTGCAAACGGAGGAGGGTAACTTCGCAGCCACGCTGTCTGGCTGCGAGTCCGACATGCGCTTCGTGTATTGCGCGGCGTGCGTCAGCTACATACTCAATGATTGGTCCGGATTCAATATTGAGAAGGCTACAGACTATATCATTAAATCTATAGTGAGTATTGTTTTTTTTATTGGATAAGTAGATGAATCATTTGATGGTAAGCAATTCTATATGGATATCCGAAATGCTGGATTATTTGGGTCTACGGCAACCTTAGTCACACGGTGAAATACGATACAAACGTTGTTTCACGCCGTTTTTCTATGAAGCTGTGTTTTCATTAGGCAGTATTATATTCATATATTATCTGATAGGAATTTACAAATTATCTGTTTGTAAAAATGTTACGAGAACACGACGAATTAAATTCAACGCTTGTTCTCAATGTAAACTATAATTAAACGTGCAATTATCTGGAAAGCCATAAAACGCGTTGTTTAATTAAGTACTATCGCGTAAATTATGTTTGTGTTGTAATAGTTACTGGAGAACAAACATCCCAAAGCGTTATTAAAAAATTGGCGAAATGCAGACTCTTGATCTCTATCGGCGATTCTAGCCTCGAACTTCAATTTGGGAAAAATATTCGAATTTAGATAACTTTTAAGAGAGCTAATAATCGTAAAATGATTATTTATGGCAAAAGATTATCCTTCTGTTGCTCAAGACAAGTATTCTTGTCCTAAAAACGCAAAAGATTATCCTTCTGTTGCACAAAACAATTATTCTTGTCCTAAAAACGATGTTCTATATTTTTTTTAAGTAGACTATTCTGTTTTCCGCAGGGCTACGACTACGGCATCGCTCAATGTCCGGAGTTAGAATCGCACGGTGGCACGACCTTCTGTGCCTTAGCCACGTTGAGCCTTACGAACCAACTACACAAACTGTCAGAACAACAAGTGGAAGGCCTGAAGCGGTGGCTTCTCTTCAGGCAAGTCGACGGCTTCCAAGGCAGACCTAATAAGCCAGTCGATACGTGCTACAGTTTCTGGGTTGGAGCGTCTTTGAAAATACTAGATATGCTACAATACTCCAACTATGGAGCCAACAGGAGGTACGTCTACGAGACTCAAGACACAGTAGTAGGCGGATTCTCTAAATGGCCCGACACGTGCACAGACCCCATGCATACATATCTAGGCCTTGCTGGCCTCAGTTTAATAGGCGAAAGCGGATTATTGGAGATAGAACCGACGCTTAACATAACTAAAAGGGCGTACGAACATCTGAAGTCTTTGCACGCGAAGTGGGACAATGAAGATCTCCATGTTTTATGAATACCTCTCACATGGTCGTGAGAAACTGTTCGTAATTGTGAATGACTTTGTTAATGTTTACTTGGCGTGTGTTCATGAGGTCGGATTGTGACGCGGGCTCTACTGCACAAATGAAGGACCAAGTTTAATTGTTAATTAGAACGAACACATTTTTAATGTAACGCGTACAATTTGCGCTTCTAAATTCACAGTTAGAACAGTTTCCTACCAACCTCGTTCGACCTAAGATTTCTATGAATTTTAAGTTACCTACCGAAATTGTCGTAATTTATATAAATAAGTTTATAAAAATGTTCTTTATGCTAAAGTATTATTACTGTTGCATAATTCTTTTGTATAATATTGAATTTGTTAGTACTTAAAGTAATGTTTATGAATAAATAGGTGCTAATACTATAGGGTACCTAGGTATAGGGTACCTAGCGGTGTCATTGGACAACGAGTAATTGTTTAGCATTATATAGTACAATATGAGAATTTCTCGCGACGTGCCATGAGCAGTTGAGTAGTTAGGCATTTATCAAATTATTGCACAAAATGTAATTTTAAGCTGTTTCGTAATAATAGATGATTTAGGGCGCAGTCATAGATGTTTTTACGAGATTCAAATAGACATAGATGTTTTAACACAGTCAATTTAAATACATGGAAATGTCAAGTAATAATAATATGGTTCGTTCATTGTAGGTAGCATGTTTAAAAGTTGGTAGGCTTATACAATACATGTCTTGTGAAAGACATTTCAATTATCAACATTTTTAGGAAAAATGCACGATTATTGGTTTTTGAAAAGCATTGAAATTCAATAGATAGACTTATAGAATATCATCAAATGACTGCTTCCGCCTGGGTGAGGCGGGAGGGAGTGTCAGACTCTTACTGACTAAAAACCACCCCGTTCCTTCTCCTGCACGTCGAGTCGGAGCCCCGGTTACCCGTTAGGTTCTCCGCGACATAGATAGACGATTGGATGCTTCCGTTCACTTGAACATAGTTTACTGATTATGTTCTGAACATACAGTTTAAAGTATTATTCAAAAGATAAGTGTAATGCCATTAGAATGAATTACATAACGTACCAATCAAAGTGGAACTAATTATCTAGAATTTAAATGCTCAGAATTTCATTATAGAAACGTCAATTAATTCATTTCGGCTCCTACGTCATTCTTCATTTAGTTTTACATCCCACAATTATTTTCATTTCAGGTTGTCTCGTTGAGACAGTAGTTAGGTTTGATGTTCAGTAGTAGCAGTAGCAGGGAGGCTAAATGTGTTCTGTGTGTATTAAAATTATATTTGTTATGCGTATGTGGCAATAAACAAACATAACATAAAATAAAATAACATAACATCACATCTTTTATCCCCGAAAGCAGAGGTGCACTAATGCCACCGTACAATGTAACACCCACTTTTCACTATTTATGTTATGAGTCCCATGTAATAGAGAGCCTATTGCCATATACCGGGCACATTTTACAGACTCCGTGCTACTAGTGAAAATTATTTAAAAAAAACCCAGTATTACTTTGCCCAACTCCTTGCCCGGCAGTCGCACTTGCGACCACTCGGTCAACGAGGCAGTTCAGATAATACAGTAGGTATGTTGTTATTTTGCAATTCACTCGATTATTTAGTAATAATTCCATATTTTGTTTATCAGTTGACGAACTAGTTGCACTTTATATGGCATTACTTTAATATAGTTTCATTGATTGCGCCGAAGCCTACAAAACGGGGTTTTATATATCGTACTTTTATTTTTATACGTTCAATACTAGATGATGTTTTAGACTATAAATATACGTCGATAGAGGTTTGATATTGCCGTATAAATGGTTCATGATTATCAGAGAACTGCCTGGTCTCTATCAAATGTGTAGTCTCTTTGTCTGCTCTTACCCACGAGACAAGGTAATGAACGGTCGTCATTATACAGCTTTACATTTTTTATAAATTCTCATTGGAGAAATCACACGGCCCACCTGATAGTAAGCGGTTACCGTGGCCTATGTACGCTTGCAACGCTCGAGGTATTACATGCGTCTTGCCGATCCTTAAACAACCTATTCACTCCCTTGAAGAACCAAGTTGAATCCGCTAATGTGGTCTAAGCCTATGTTTTAATTAAGATGCAAGTTACTCCGATAGTTCATAAAAAACTAATAACTTTGAAATGTTTTGTGTTTACTTGATGCCATACAGACGAAGGATACTTTGAATGTTAAATTCACAGCCATTCTTTGTATATTCATTTACTGATATATAAACTCCATGCTAATATTTATTAACATTATCCTTAAGCATCAAGGTCATATTTAATTTCATGGTGTAATTTCTAAAGCATTTATTTCATGCATGTTTTATGTTTTTAAAAACTTTTGTCCAATTGAAGTTCATATGGCTTAAGTACTAAGCTCTCAGTAGACCCTTATAAATATTTGTTTAAAGGTGTCACTAGGCTGTAGACGCCATTATGAAAAGCATAATCCAAAATTAACCATTTTCTCTATCAATCATAATAAACTAAAATATTGGATCATAGTTCTAAGGTTTTTGTGTTACTAGAGGCGTGTAAGATTTTAAAATCAGTAAAACATTTACTAATGACAACTCAGTCCACTTTAGCAGTTAGATGGTTGAGACCCTTAGGGACTTAAAGTCTCACTAGCGCCAACTGGTGGGGACTAATCGTTCGCGCGTTTTTTGACAGTTTGGTGAACCCTATAACCTTACTTTTTTACAAGGCAAGTATGAGTTACTAATCAGTATAGAATACTGAACAACATTTACACTTTTTAAGAAGCGCTTATTGATTTTTTTATAATAAAATAATTTATATTTTTACATAATGAAATCTATCAGTTCCTGCGTTAGCAAAATGTGTCTTATTTCTTTGTGTTAAAGCTTGAATTGTTTTGTAATTTGTGTTTTGCTTTTTATCGGCAAACCTTTACTAGTTATACAGGGTGCAGTAGAATGAAATATTAGATTATTACATAGACGAATCGCTTTAATTGCTTCTTTATTATTATCAGAATAAATAAATATATGAAGTTTTTATCTACTTCTTGTTGCCTTCATTGATTAAGGGATTAAGATTTTCCTTGAATTTAAACTTCTTGTTAATGCTGCGTTCCGCATTTTAATTAGATGCGTAAATCTTGTAAACAAGTGACTATAGCCTGCTTCAAAATACTACAAACCTGTTTTTGTTCCCAATGAGGAAAATTCAAGCAATAAATAAATTAGGTAAGGTGTTTTTTGTTAAATACATTTCAATGATTGTGGACCTGTTCTTGAAGGAAGATTTACATAAATATTCAAACAGAAATTAATCTTATTTTGATCAGAATAAGTTTTATAATCGAGTATTTTACATAAACCACGCAGCGTCAAAATGAATTTGAACAAATATCGCCAAGAAATAGGTTCACAAACATTTGAGACCAACACGAACTAAATATTTTTCTAAGGCCAACATTTGTTATTTATTTTTTAATTTATTAGTAAAGGTTTGTCATAGTAAAAAATAACGATGTTATTTTATGATTTGTGTTTAAAATTATGCGTAAATTATTATGTAAAGTTATAGTATTAGTTTTATTGGAAAAAAGTAATTTGAACATGTAATTATGTCTATTTTGAACATTTATTTCGATTTGTTTAAAAATATTGAAATAATATAATGAAAGTTAAAATGAAAAATGTTTTTTATTTCGATTAAGTTTACTTTTACCTATATTAAAGGTCACGTAAATTGACCCAGTGAGCTACAAAATTAATAAACGAAGGCAATGTGCCCATTTGGCCTTTAAATTATACATTACTAGCTGAAAAACGTGTCTTTACCTGTGTAGTCAAAGAAAAAGTAAGTAGCCTTCTATTTCCAGACAAAAAAAAACACATAGGTACTATTTTTTTACTGTTTGATATTTTTATGTAATGTTTTCCTAGATTCTTCTAGGTTTTGACATGGTTAAAGCATGAAAATGGTTATGGGCCCCTAATGTGGCTTGAAATTAGTCAAATCACTGCGACAGACAGTTGCTTACGTGAGTACCTACCTAATTAATAAAATTGTCATGATTATAGTATATAAAAAACACGTTTTCTTGATGAGAGGCAGCGGAACATTACGGCATTGTTTTTCTTTACATTCTAGCTCACTCCAACAAACAAACAAAACCTAAGAATCTAAAGCAAGCAAGCAATTGTTTAGCAATTAAGAATCCATTTATAGCATTAGAACATTTATTTTCTCATCAAAGGCTGTGGCTAGCCAAGAAAACATTTGTTCTCTAAACAAACGGACGATTAAGTGTTTTAGGGGCATTAGAGTGACTATCGTCACGTGACGTCAGTAATTAGAGGAAGTGACGCATAATTTCACGAAGGACATCAAGTTGGGTGACTTGGAGAATTAACATGGAAGTAAGTTCTCAGATCTCTCACACTTGGGCGTGAAATTGCATGCATTTATGTCGGTGAATAGACAGACAGACCGAGACAGACGTTATATTAGGTATAGTGTGTAATGTCTGAGAAATTGGCTAACCATTAGTCTATAGATTGTTCTTGGTGAAGTTTGTTGACGGTGAATTGTTAGATGTAAGTGAAAGGTGTTTTGAATAAGTTTTATATTACTGGGAACTTATAAACGTTTTTTTTTTGAGGTGGGAAAATCATCCAATGACTTTTGTCGCCCGGGTCAGGGCAAAAAGTTTCAGACTCTTATTGGTTAAAAACCACCCCGCTCCTACTCCTGTACTTCGAGCTGGAGCCCCGGCAACCCGTTAAGTCTTCCGCAGCTCCGTATCAGCATCAGCCTTGTTAAGCCCGAACTGTGGGGGTCTGATGGCTCCTTGAGGCGCGCGCGGAACGCGACGCGCCGTACGCTCGGGCCTGGTAAAGTCGGGCGGCGCTTTACTCGCGCTCGCCGTCCGCAGGCCTACTACTATACGACGAGGTAACTCGACTATTTTCAAGTCACGCTCGAGTGCCATAATATGAGCAGCATTATATAGAAATTGAAAGGTAAAAAAAGAAAGAAGGTTACACACCTATTTATTTTGAAATTGTATTAATGTAAATAAAACCCATTCATTATTTATGGACTAAAAAGCTAAATTTAAAACAAAATCAATCTCAAAATACGAGACTTAATCTAATCCTTTTCAACGAAACAATTAGGAGTGTAGCTCCACTCCATTACACTACACGATTTTACACTAACGCTTCATTCTGTGAGCCATTCCTAGACTGGTTCATTACCCCACCAAGTGTGGACCACAGATACGTACGAAGCTTGGCTGGCAGCCGGTAAACTAGACTTAGTGAAGTATTAGCAAGCGCAGCTCTATCTCGTCGGCACACAGAGCCAAGGAACGCAGAATAGAGGTGCCGCATTAACAGCTAATGCTTCGGATTTCACAGTGTTTTGCACAGCTCTAACTTCAACATGTTATATTCATGGCGATGCAAGTGTTTCGATAGTATTTGAGAAATATTTTGAAATTGTATGCGCTAAGAGTTAGATTTTTTGTGTGATGATTATTGAGTACTTACGAGATAATGTAACGAAGGATAAAAGGTAGGTACTTCTGCTGGGTAGATACTATGTAGGTATCATCCATAAGTATCTATATCATATACAAATTCTTATAGTATCTACTTACCTACTGATTTTGGCTAAGTTAGTCCATTCATTGACTTCGAAACCAATTCATCAACATCCATGAATTATTAAAAGGACATTAGGAATATTTATTACAGCGAGTTCGTCAATATTTACGTTAGGTATTTACCTACGTACCTATAACATTCAAAAACTAAATTGAGGCTCCATACAAAAACAAGTCTAAAGCAATTATTTTGTAATTAATCACTCTGGAGTCCGAAATAAAACCGCCAAAAAAGCCGGGGGTAGATACCGGCCGCACATTTTATCTGAGATTTTCTCCGGTCGCAAATACGTACCTACGTAGGTATCTCACACAAATAAGCAATTTACAATTCCGATCCACGGAGTGAGCCTACCTATTCATCATTTAGATTTATAGTCCTTTATCTAGCCGATCTGTTCTTGTTTAATTAATGGAAGTAAGAAAATTTCGTCGCACAAATTCCTAAACATGCCCTCAGATTCCGTTGTCTTGACGTTTTGGTGACAGTTCTACGACCCTCGTTGCTTTTCTGACCCAACTTAAAATAAATTAGGAGTATTCATAACCCTGTTCCGTAAACTATGTCTTTTGTTGTAATGGTTTAAAGTGATCTTAGAATCCAATGAGGAATTTAATTTTGAATTTTCAACGAATAGCCGTGATTAAAATGTTCTGAAGTAGAATTA